CTCTCTCATGGACACGATAGTCCTCCTCTCTCATGGACACGATAGTCCTCCTCTCTCACGGACACGATAGTCCTCCTCTCTCACGGACACGATAGTCCTCCTCTCTCACGGACACGATAGTCCTCCTCTCTCACGGACACGATAGTCCTCCTCTCTCACGGACACGATAGTCCTCCTCTCTCATGGACACGATAGTCCTCCTCTCTCATGGACACGATAGTCCTCCTCTCTCATGGACACGATAGTCCTCCTCTCTCACGGACACGATAGTCCTCCTCTCTCATGGACACGATAGTCCTCCTCTCTCATGGACACGATAGTCCTCCTCTCTCATGGACACGATAGTCCTCCTCTCTCACGGACACGATAGTCCTCCTCTCTCATGGACACGATAGTCCTCCTCTCTCACGGACACGATAGTCCTCCTCTCTCATGGACACGATAGTCCTCCTCTCTCATGGACACGATAGTCCTCCTCTCTCACGGACACGATAGTCCTCCTCTCTCATGGACACGATAGTCCTCCTCTCTCATGGACACGATAGTCCTCCTCTCTCATGGACACGATAGTCCTCCTCTCTCATGGACACGATAGTCCTCCTCTCTCATGGACACTTTTAAGTTCAATTCTAAGGCTATGAATACAATTAAAAAAACATGGTGGAGGTAAATATTCTTAAAAAGGTCACATTTGTTATTAGTTAACATGTTTTTTCACATGGAGCAGCTGTAAAAATTACACAGGGTGGCTTTAACAGTCACAGAGGAAAGCTTTAACAGTCACAGAGGAAAGCTTTAACAGTCACAGAGGAAAGCTTTAACAGTCACAGAGGAAAGCTTTAACAGTCACAGAGGAAAGCTTTAACAGTCACAGAGGAAAGCTTTAACAGTCACAGAGGAAAGCTTTAACAGTCACAGAGGAAAGCTTTAACAGTCACAGAGGAAAGCTTTAACAGTCACAGAGGAAAGCTTTAACAGTCACAGAGGAAAGCTTTAACAGTCACAGAGGAAAGCTTTAACAGTCACAGAGGAAAGCTTTAACAGTCACAGAGGAAAGCTTTAACAGTCACAGAGGAAAGCTTTAACAGTCACAGAGGAAAGCTTTAACAGTCACAGAGGAAAGCTTTAACAGTCACAGAGGAAAGCTTTAACAGTCACAGAGGAAAGCTTTAACAGTCACAGAGGAAAGCTTTAACAGTCACAGAGGAAAGCTTTAACAGTCACAGAGGAAAGCTTTAACAGTCACAGAGGAAAGCTTTAACAGTCAAGAGGAAACTTTAACAGTCACAGAGGAAAGCTTTAACAGTCACAGAGGAAAGCTTTAACAGTCACAGAGGAAAGCTTTAACAGTCACAGAGGAAAGCATTTTCAGATTCATTACTTATAGCAGTAGAAAATAGCAGCATTAGCAGTGACTGGTAAAAAGCAGATGTTGTTTGTGTCTGTACTATGCAGGGACTTATCAAACTTATTTCCTTTCTTGTCCATGAGGAGAGAAGATGTGCTAAACTTTTGGGAGTGTTGTGTGGATGAAAATGCTAATTAGATGATTTTATCCAAATGTTATGGCCTCTATCTCTCTATCAAAATACATGACATTTACTTCTATCCCGGGACAAAACGGCTGCATCGAGAAATATATTTACAACAAATATAACAACACAAACCTATCTGTTATCACAGAGTTTCTCTCCATCTTTAATAGTTTTTTTACAGATGCCACTCGCCTTCACGACTGTTACCGCCTCTGACCTCAGCTAAACGTGATAATCCCATTCATTCCAATCATGCCAGATTCCAAACAGAATTAAATTATTAAGGAGCTTATGCCCAAGTTAAAAAGGCTTTGGAGTGTTTAGGGCTTTAACTGTCGCTTTTCGAGGGACTCCAGGCCTGAGACTGGACAGACTTACACTGGTCATCAGGACTGTGGATTATGGTCTGAAGTAACTCTGTTTAGTAGTTTAAATGTATTAGTGTAAATGTATTTAAATGTATTGTACAAATAAACAACATGTGTCAAACTGTAGAAAGAGTGTAGTCAACACTTGTCAGTCTGGTCTCAGTAAAGTAAGTAAGTAAGTAAGTAAGCTTTATTTATATACCGCCTTTCACAGACCAGAGTCACAAAGCGGTTTACAATTGTTATTTTATGGGCACTTGTCTCTCACTCCACACAGAGATGGGAGCGGGGCCAGTACAGGAGGCACATGCCAGACCTATTGTACATATTTTTAGTGGTAGGGGAAACCGGAGTACCCGGAGGAAACCTACGCAGACACGGGGAGAACATGCAAACTCCACTCAGAAAGGCCCTGGTCCGGCCGGGATTCGAACCCAGGACCTTCTTGCTGAGAGGCGAGAGTGCTATCCACTCAGCCACCGTGCCGCCATGAACAAAGTTGAAAATGGTTCATTAATGTGTTTTAAAGTTATGAATATCCATAGAACACTCTCTGGCTAGTGTTTAATGCAACCCAGCACACACTTTATATCAGTATTATAATTATCTTTGTAAATGTCCCTTATAAAACCTTTCCTACCGTGTTTGTGCTCAGTTTGTGTGTCTAATACTTCACACTAAAGCTGTGTTTGCTCAACACACAAGGGGGAAAAAGTAAGGACTAAAATTAAAAGTGGTCCAAAAATAATCTTAGTAGAATCATGGCATTCCTCAGCGGCCTTAAGAGCCCCATAATCCTGACTCTGCTTAAATGTGAAGTGGAAAAACTGGGATTTAAAATGCTTAAAGTCTTAAAAAGTGTCAGTGTGCAGCCAGTTTAAGAGCCCTGGCAACCTGTCAAAACACAGATTGAAAAATCACAGCGACGCGTTCAGATTGAGACTTTTACAATGTGTGCTTTTGTTGGGCCTCATTTAGCATCAGCACAAAAGCACAACAGTGTGGCTTTGGCCTCAACTTCTCCATGTGTCTCAATATACAACCTGGGCACAATATGAACGCTTCTGGAATGATTAAAAGTTGTTTTTGAGTAAAAGAATGAAAACAAACAATGTTGTAATTGTGTGAGAGGTCGTTGCTGAAGATTAGGAGTCACCGGCTCTGACCCGGCTCTGACCCGGCTCTGACCCGGCTCTGACCCGGCTCTGACCAATCCTATGAACTTCAGATTGAGATACAATCATCACAGGCTTTTGTTAGTGTGCGTTTAGCATTGGAGCAATCCAAATGTGTGGGACATACAACAGCTTTGGCTTTGGCTGTCAAAAAGTGCATGCATCTGAATAGGCTGCAGACACTCCCCTCGCTCCCCTTTCTATCTGATGGCTCAATAGAGGGAGACCTTTGGCCCCTGGTCCCGACCGAGACGCCACACGGAGATCCACAGTCGTCTGGGAACATTCACAGCACTCAGCCCACACTGCGATCTCTATCAAAGAGCCACACATACAATTCACCGATTCAATTGGCTCCGACAAATGCATGGTTTGGCTGAGCGTGTTGCCTTCAGTGGCTTTACAAAGTGTTTTAAAGAAGAAAGGTATAAGTGAGTGAAAGCTTGAGCGCTTATGGAGATGGAAATACAACAATACACTTCTGCTATTTGGAGATAATTGCATGCATTTAACACAAATGCAGCTTTTTCTACCTCAAGAGAGCCCATCATTTGTTCCATCTCATCCTAAACTCATATAAACAGTTTCAACCTGGACCATAATGTTTTTTTGAGCGTGTCCCTGAAAGCAGCGATTACACAGGACACATTTATACGTTGATCGTGGCTTTCCTCTGGACCTTCTGCCTTCTTGACTCTGGCAATTCTATTTACTAGTTGCATTACACCGAGTTGATTATTGGTTCTCTTCCCTCACCATGGCAACAAAAAACTACTCTGGATATCGTCTTGTGTCTTGTGCCTCTGTTCATCCTTTCTCTGTCACTCTCTGTGGCTTGAGTGCTCTGATGGACGTCCAGTGTGACAGACTTTTACAGAGGAGCAGGAAGCGACTCACTTAGATCCACTTGAGCGAGGCGACAGGATGTATTTTTACAGAAGGGTAATGGTTCTAATGGAAGAGCCTTTCTCTCACTCTCCTGCACACGAGACAGAATAAAGCTGACACTAAGAGGAAGCAGGACTCTATAGGAATGCGATAGTGTAGTACATCTATACCAGGGGTGTCCAAACCTTTGAGTAAGAGCCGCTTTAGTCCACCAGACTTGTCCCGGGGCTGACAACCCAAATTTTAAAACTGATTTAGGCTGTTCTGAGCTTTTAAAGGGTATGAATGGATCTACAGTGATTCATATTTGACAGAAATGAAATTCTCACAACGACATACATTAAGTGCTACATACACAATGTCGGGACACAATCAAAAGCAAAGGTGTTGGAGTTGGCTGGATGACACTATGAACTGGATCTGCTATATACTATACTAAACTATATACCATGAAGACTACATCAAGCTAGAAAGTTGAGCCATATAAAATGACACAAAGGGCCGCTTTTGTGTCATTCTTCTGCAAACCTTTAGGTGCATGGGCTGCAGAAGAAGTCGCAATATTTCACATGTATTTGAATGTGCACTCATTCTACATCAGCTATACATAAAAAAGTGAATTTGCCCTTAAATATAAAAGGAAAAGGAATAAGAAATAATTAACACTGTCTTGTCACTGTATAAATATTACCGCAGTACGTCTGAGTGATATGCAAGGCTTGATGAAGGCCAAGAGTGTAAACCTTGTCCTCAAACCGAGTCCAGGTAAATTCAATTGATTTGCAGCTAAGGCAAGTATGAATGTTCTCGGACGTTATTAAGGACAAAAGTCTGATTATATATCCATTTATTCATTCATGTACAAAATACGTTTCTTTCTCGTGAGGCCTCTGTTTAGATTGACTCGTCTGCTGCACTTTGACACGTCACAGACACAAAACTGAGTGTGTTTCCGGGAGAGTTATTGTGTCCTTGTAACGTCTTCACATGGGACCGTGATGTGTTCATTTGGAGAGATGGGGGCTGGTCTCAGGTCACATGGTTCCTGACAGCGCCACAATGGCCTCCTGATGCCCCGCCTCCCCACGGGGTCGCCAAGGTGACGGTGCTTCCAGCTCCAAGTGACAAGATCGCGTGAGAGTGACAGGCGTGGAGAAAGGGGAGAACGGAGCGGCTGTGATTTCTGACTTTGTGACGGGACCTGACCACACGCCCTTCTGTCACCGCAGAGAAAAGAGATTGATTTGTCACTTTGCTTTTTGTCAGGCAAAAATAATGAAATATATGTATGTATATTGGGATGGGTATGTGGATGTGTGAAGGTTGTATTTGAAGCCAGGCAGAATAAGACAATAGAGTAGAATGATGTTTATGAACGGATGAAACTAAACACACAAAATAATGTTGTAAACTCCTACACACATTTGTGTACCTTTGCAGCCAATTTATTTATTAAAATGTTTTCCCATGATTCAATTTTATTCGATTTCAAAGACATGTTTAAAACCCATTGCAGTTGGGTTACTACAAAATATTGTGTATTGTATATCATTTAGGAAAATATAGAGATAAAACTGCTGCTGATTTCCTTTTATAACTGTACAATATATATATGTACTGATTTATTAAACTTAAGATGAATCATCTCATACTTCTACCTATCACTAGCATCAATAACTGCTCTGTGTATTTCTAGTGGAGCTGGGAGGCTTCAGGCTTTCATGCTCCATGAAAAGTGTCAGTAAAGAGTTTAGTGGAGCAGATTTCTGGACTTGAAAAGAGTGGTCTTCCCCTCTGACCCCCCATGGTCTGCGGATGTCAGTGGTCAGCCGCTCAGCCTGTGACCTCTGCTTTCAACCCTTCAATCCTTCAAGGCCAATCCTAACCTCACAGAGACCTCACAGAGACCTCACAGAGACCTCAGAGACCTCAGAGACCTCAGAGAGCTCAGAGACCTCAGAGACCTCAGAGAGCTCAGAGACCTCAGAGACCTCAGAGACCTCACAGCCGTTTAACAGCAGCTCTGGGAGAATAAAACCCATGTCAAGATTGAGACGTAACATTGTGGGCAGTTACAGCTTAATAATGAATAAGAAACCCTTTCTTTTAACCCTAACCCTACATATACATGTTTTTATATGATATTACTAAAGAGGGTTGCATAAGTTTCCGTGTAAGTGTGCAGCAATGCTTGATGAAGTCTGTCACTCTATTATTGAATGAAAAGACCCGGAAGAGTTACACAAACTTTTGGATCTCACACTTCTACGTTTCACTCCATTATAATGATAAATGCTTGACTTTATACTTTTAGCCTAATTGGCCACCGCAGGACCCCCTGAGCTCTCGTAAGCACTCGGGCTATGCCATGCCAGGCTTAAACTGCCATGCCTGACTCTATATTGAGACACTATCGTGGGGCCATCGGACGATGACAACTCGTAATGTCAAAGTGAATCCAGACACTAGACTGGACAAGGCCAGTGAGTCCCATATGCTCCAGAGGCCTTATTACACACACATCACCATCTATACATATGCTGCTGCTGACACCCGCAACAAGCCAGCACCCACGGGAGCACCAACGGGACCCACACTGGCCCCTAAGCTTTTCTCAGACTGCCTGAGAATAATCTAAGTCGTTGTGGATTCACCACATCGCCAAATACACTGGAGCAATCGTGAAAGAGGGTTTGAAATAAAATAAAACCAACCAAACAGAAGGATCATTGAGCCATGAGCTAAATAAACCTCTGAAAAGTAGATTTCAAAGTACACTTCTGCACTTAAGGCTGTCCATTAGAGCAGAAAGGTTTAATTAAAGCTGGGGTACCTAACTTTCACACAGCAACTATGGAACTATGCAGTAAAAATCCATCTCACTGGTTCAATTTAAAAACAGTTTTCTTCCATCACTAGTTTCCACAAAATGACAAAATGTATTATTTATGAAAAAATAAAGTTAGGTACCCCTGCTATAATTGTCTTGATAATGTCAAATCTGCACTTCCGACGTGACAAAGAAAAGTCTGACGAGGATCCATGATAAGACTAGTTGGAGCCATGGAGGAAACATTTGGGGACACTTGAAACACACTCTTCGGTTGAAAGCATTAGTATTGGCACATCTCGAGGAGCTCTCTCCAGTTGAAGTGGTTTTAAGAGTTTGAGGAGGGCTGACAGGTGTGAGGGCCGAGCGGGACAACTGCAGCGTCCACTGGGAGCAGATGTTAGAGATCTCTGTAAACTGTTAATAGCTGCAGGATCTCATTACATTTAACCCTTTGGAGGATTGAGAACAGCCCTTTCTCAGCACGAAGACCGCAACAACTGACCCTAAAACACTTTGGTATAAATGTGTGCTCTGTAGTGCGAACAAAATCTCAAAATGGGTGGAAAAAGTTGATTTTCCTTATTACAAATGTTTCCACACCTCTGCATGACGCTGGATTTGACACGGTTTAAGATGCGTAAAGCGGTAATCTCTCCAAATCCCGGAAAAATGAAAGGAACTCGGACACTGTTTTGGAAGCTTGGTTTCTCAGCCAAGGAATAACAGCTTGTTCTTGTTATTATTTGAACAAGTTTGGTTTCAAAATACATTCATAAAGTGAGATTTATAGTCGTGTCCACTTCTTTATCTTTTTAATCCCGGTTGTTTTATGGCAGAAGTTTTTGATCACAGTGACAAGTATTGAAGATGATGAGGATTCACTGCAGAGGAATATGCTGACAATAAACAACAAAACAATGTAATTTCCTTTGTCTTAACTTTAAAATAGCAGCTATAATGATTCTAATAAACACGCAAGTCTCAGGCGAAGGTTTAAACTCTGGCTGCCATTTTCTAATCTTACCATTATTTATTATTATCATTGATTTTATTCAAACACACATTTGGACTATTTGTGCAGTTTGAACTCGCTCATTGATTCCTACAACTCCACAGCGCTGTCTTAAAGGTGAACTTAGACCTGCCTCTTTAAGCCACGGCAGATCGTAGTGTTTAGGCAGAGTCCGATGACAAAACTGAGTAGAACAGCTGTCCGCCTCACTACGTTACTGTCAACACAGCCCTATCAGGCCACTATCCGGGCCCGCTCTCCCCTCTCCACACTCTGGCCCTGTTTATTTTAGTTTAGTTTGGAGAACTAGATCACGGCGCGCTGTTTTGTGACCTTTATTTTTACCGTGAGAAGATTTCAGCACTTGCTCCACTTATAGACTTTCACTGTAGGAAGCATCCCAGCCCCGCGCAGAGGCCAAAAGAGCGGACTAGCAGGGATTTAGAAAGGCCACGGGAGGAAACACAGTCCGCCTCCGGTTTTAACCTCTTATCAGTGGCTGCTGGAGGCTCTTAATTGACGGACCATGGAACACCATTTATCATTCCAACTTTTTGCATTTCAGTGCAGGTTTACTAACTTTTCTGATAGAAGGTAATTGCATAAGTCTTCTGTTATTGCTTAGCTGTACAACAGTTTATCTATTGCATGGAGAATGTCCAGTGTCTGACATGTGCAGAAGCAGCCCTCTTCAATGCCTGTGTTTCGGGGTTATCTTTGAGCAAGAAATTAAACAATTACTGTAAAATTTTCATGGAGAAAAGCAAGTGGCAGAATCTCCACCGAGTTCTGTTGATGCAGCTTTTAAGAGTAACAGACTTTAAAGAGGCATTATGAAACATTTTATGTAAACAAAAGGTGCTATGTTTGCATATTTAACCTTGTGGTGACCAGTGGCTGTAAGAGTGATCAGTATATGCAAAAGATATCAACCTGTCTTTCTTTCATGAAGAAAGTTGAATAATGCACCTTTAAATTTGTTTCGTCAGTGGAATGATGTCTTTCAATCAGCAGTGACCACATGCACTTTGCTAAACCCTTTTCAAAGTAAACATTGTAATCAAGTGATAGTTCTTACCTTGATGCCGCCCATCCTCTGCTCTCCCTTGAACTCCTTTCCGTTCTTGAGCCAGTGGATCGTGGGCATCGGGTTCCCAGCGGCCGCACACCGAAACTTCACCGTGTTCGCCGCGGGGACGGCCAAGAGCTTTTTGTCCATTCGCTCAGGTCTGGTCCAATAGGGAGCTTCTGCGCACAGAAGAAGGCTGAGGTTAATAATGCTGTACTCAATGACAATGATGTTTCAATGTTCAAATGGATCTCTGCCTTTTCTAAGAGTAAAGAAATGCAGCAGTGTCGCACTATGGTCATCTTAGGTTGGATTTGTTATTAAGATCAAGGTGCAATAAAGAGTTGTGACCATGACTCTAAGTGAAAAATACAAAACAAAATAGACATCATTCTCAACAGCCAATCATATTTGACCAGAGCATGTCATCTTCCACATCTCTCTCCACCACTGCTTCAAATCAATCCAGTCATGTTTTCTATTTCTCCAATAATCTTAGATCACAGGAACATTTTGGGGAAGACCCTGCAGGACTCCGTCCTCACATGTTTTGGTAATAGTTCAAAGATGGCACAGACAGGATGGGTTGTGTTTGGCCATGTTGGATGAGTTAGATCGTCATGTCGTGAGCAGATGTGGGCTCTTTCTCAACGCTTCACTTCACCAAACAACAGGGGCCCAAGACATCACACCCATGGCCTGCAGGCTTCATACATAACTTTAATTCAATGCCAAATGGTTTGAAGATGCTTAGTCTCTCTCTCTCACTCTCTCTGCATGCTCTTCTAGTCTCTCCCTCGTGCTCTTCTAGTCTCTCCCTCGTGCTCTTCTAGTCTCTCCCTCGTGCTCTTCTAGTCTCTCCCTCGTGCTCTTCTAGTCTCTCCCTCGTGCTCTTCTAGTCTCTCCCTTGTGCTCTTCTAGTCTCTCCCTCGTGCTCTTCTAGTCTCTCCCTTGTGCTCTTCTAGTCTCTCCCTCTCTGCGTGCTCTTCTAGTCTCTCCCTCGTGCTCTTCTAGTCTCTCCCTCGTGCTCTTCTAGTCTCTCCCTGGTGCTCTTCTAGTCTCTCCCTCGTGCTCTTCTAGTCTCTCCCTCGTGCTCTTCTAGTCTCTCCCTCGTGCTCTTCTAGTCTCTCCCTCGTGCTCTTCTAGTCTCTCCCTCGTGCTCTTCTAGTCTCTCCCTTGTGCTCTTCTAGTCTCTCCCTCGTGCTCTTCTAGTCTCTCCCTCGTGCTCTTCTAGTCTCTCCCTCGTGCTCTTCTAGTCTCTCCCTCGTGCTCTTCTAGTCTCTCCCTGGTGCTCTTCTAGTCTCTCCCTCGTGCTCTTCTAGTCTCTCCCTTGTGCTCTTCTAGTCTCTCCCTGGTGCTCTTCTAGTCTCTCCCTCGTGCTCTTCTAGTCTCTCCCTTGTGCTCTTCTAGTCTCTCCCTCGTGCTCTTCTAGTCTCTCCCTCGTGCTCTTCTAGTCTCTCCCTTGTGCTCTTCTAGTCTCTCCCTCGTGCTCTTCTAGTCTCTCCCTGGTGCTCTTCTAGTCTCTCCCTCGTGCTCTTCTAGTCTCTCCCTCGTGCTCTTCTAGTCTCTCCCTCGTGCTCTTCTAGTCTCTCCCTCGTGCTCTTCTAGTCTCTCCCTCGTGCTCTTCTAGTCTCTCCCTCGTGCTCTTCTAGTCTCTCCCTGGTGCTCTTCTAGTCTCTCCCTCGTGCTCTTCTAGTCTCTCCCTTGTGCTCTTCTAGTCTCTCCCTCGTGCTCTTCTAGTCTCTCCCTTGTGCTCTTCTAGTCTCTCCCTCGTGCTCTTCTAGTCTCTCCCTTGTGCTCTTCTAGTCTCTCCCTGGTGCTCTTCTAGTCTCTCCCTCGTGCTCTTCTAGTCTCTCCCTTGTGCTCTTCTAGTCTCTCCCTCGTGCTCTTCTAGTCTCTCCCTCGTGCTCTTCTAGTCTCTCCCTCGTGCTCTTCTAGTCTCTCCCTGGTGCTCTTCTAGTCTCTCCCTCTCTGCGTGCTCTTCTAGTCTCTCCCTTGTGCTCTTCTAGTCTCTCCCTGGTGCTCTTCTAGTCTCTCCCTCTCTGCGTGCTCTTCTAGTCTCTCCCTCGTGCTCTTCTAGTCTCTCCCTCGTGCTCTTCTAGTCTCTCCCTGGTGCTCTTCTAGTCTCTCCCTGGTGCTCTTCTAGTCTCTCCCTCGTGCTCTTCTAGTCTCTCCCTCGTGCTCTTCTAGTCTCTCCCTTGTGCTCTTCTAGTCTCTCCCTCGTGCTCTTCTAGTCTCTCCCTTGTGCTCTTCTAGTCTCTCCCTTGTGCTCTTCTAGTCTCTCCCTCTCTGCGTGCTCTTCTAGTCTCTCCCTTGTGCTCTTCTAGTCTCTCCCTCGTGCTCTTCTAGTCTCTCCCTCTCTGCGTGCTCTTCTAGTCTCTCCCTCGTGCTCTTCTAGTCTCTCCCTCGTGCTCTTCTAGTCTCTCCCTCGTGCTCTTCTAGTCTCTCCCTGGTGCTCTTCTAGTCTCTCCCTCGTGCTCTTCTAGTCTCTCCCTGGTGCTCTTCTAGTCTCTCCCTGGTGCTCTTCTAGTCTCTCCCTCGTGCTCTTCTAGTCTCTCCCTGGTGCTCTTCTAGTCTCTCCCTCGTGCTCTTCTAGTCTCTCCCTCGTGCTCTTCTAGTCTCTCCCTCGTGCTCTTCTAGTCTCTCCCTCGTGCTCTTCTAGTCTCTCCCTCGTGCTCTTCTAGTCTCTCCCTCGTGCTCTTCTAGTCTCTCCCTGGTGCTCTTCTAGTCTCTCCCTGGGACTCTTCCAGTGAAAGGTATTGTGATAGGGTGGTGTATGGACCGTGGGGAAGAGGACAATGCTCACACTCTGAGCTGAGTCCATTTGTATCATGAGGTTTTGTGAATTTGGAAAGTGTCAGAGCGATTTATTGAGTTGTATTGAGGAGATTGGGCACAAAGGAGTCAGGGCCAGGCCCTTGTCCCGAGTGTGGACAGGCAGAAGGGCAGTGATGCGTAATGTGTGTCGCGGGACAAAAAGGCTGGGAGGTGGTTGACCCGTCATCAGATGTCTCTTTTTACTCTCCCAAACGCAGCCAGAGAGAAGCTAATTACCATCTGAATGTGGCGAGGACCAGCCCTAACGCTAACCCTGCGGCACATACGTTTGGGTCCAAAGACAGTTTGTTAAAGCGGAGGAGATGTAAAGTGTGAAGTGATTTGGGGAATTACAAGGCGTTATTTTGATGGTATTGAAAGTGAATTGGTAAAGGTTAGGTTATGGAATGTATCGGTGATTGTCACATAAAATGTTGATTTGCGTAGAACCAACAACTTTATATAAAAATAAACTGATACAGGTGAAAGATAAATATGAAGACAGGACCAAACTGGGAATCGTATCAAGAAAATACAATTAAGATAAACTTAAAATAAGGCTTAAATATGGAGTACTAACTTGTTTTGGCTTCAGAAATACATTTTGTTTGTCCCGAAAGAGACTTGTTTAAGTAACATTTTCTGAACAATACAAGCTGAAAGCTGAATGATTGTAAAGATTCAAAGCTGGTTCTCTCTTTCTCACTGAAAAGCTGATTAAAATACATGCATGTGATGGAACTAGTTCACATAGATTTGATAAACATACTGTAATGTTTGTGCTTTCAAAGGCACTCTAGCTTTAACTGAGGACTGAATTCCATTTGATGAATTTCAATCTATTTGGGAACTTGGTTAATGAAGACTAATCTTTAATGCCCCTGAACCTGAAGGTGTAGGAGTGCTTCTGTAACACTACTTTCAGTAGTAGCAGTTGTACCAAATGTATCCCATTGAGCTTCAGGACCACACATCGGGGCAGTTTAAAGACTAATCCTGGCTTTATTTGTTCGTGTGTGTGGCTGCTTACAACGCCAAGAAAACACTGTACAGACTGTGATGAGACGTCCCGACCTCAGTCGCTCCAATGCTGCTCTGAAGCGCTGAAATCTAACACATATTATCCTTATATGGGCTCTTGTTTGTGTTATAGCGAGTTGGGGAGTCCGACACTCACGCCAGCAGGATTTTCAAATACATTACGTTCTGTAATGTTCTACATTACAAAGAAGATTTATGTTCCTGTTTGTTTGTTTTCATGGGCTTTCCATTCCTCCATGTCTCTGTATGAGATTACTGCTCTATAACCAAAATAAAAGCAGAAGACAGCAGCCAGAGACAGCCTGAGTGACACCTGTCAATCACCAAGGCTAGGTCATACTGCAGAGGGTCGTGTTAGTAGTTAGAGGGAGAATATAAAGAAGCAGAAAAGCAGGAAGGTGGAGGAATGGTTTGAATAGAAAGATATTATGATCAGTCTCTTTTTTACAAGTAAACAAGTGTAAGTAAGTTATTTATATAGCACATTCAGAGAACGAGGTCACCGGCTTTACAATATTTTGAATTACCAATTTATTGACCAATTCTCTGACCATGACCATCCGTTCACTCACTCTTTACATTGAGTAGTGGAAGGGGAAAACGGAGCACGCGGAGGAAACCTACGCAGGTCCAGGGAGAACATGCAAAGTCCACACAGAACGTTTGGAGGTGGAATCAAACCCAGGAGCTTCTTGCTGAGAAGCACAAGTAAACTATTACCATGAATAGTATGTTCCAAAGTGGTAGGTAGTGGTAACCCTAACCCTGACACTGCACAATTCAAACTTAACCAGAATTACAAATAAAAGTAAAACGGAAGGTTCAAACACAACTGTTTCAATATGAACCAATAGAAGTAAACATCGTCGTGCCTTAAATCCTGTGATGCTAAATGTACTATTGTCACACATACTCCTTCGGCTGGTAACAAATACAGCATACTTCTGAAGTGTAGATTCTGAACAGGCACTGACCTGCTCTGTCAGTCACATATGGACTGAAGTCTGTCAGTGATTTGAAATAAACACGATCCACATTTGAGCGTCAGAAATGATGACAGTGAGTCTTCTGAGCCCCAGACACATGTTGTATGGTTTGGATCTAATTGGTTGGCATGGAAACCACAATATTTGACTTTGGAGAAAGAGATTAGAGAAGGAAGACCCAGCGCAGATAGTTTATCGTCATCATTTTGTCCCGCGCCATAACAATGGTAGTTTATATACTTTGCTCTATGAAAAGATCGCTAAAACAGAACATACAAGAGATCTTCAAAAAGACCTGTATTTTTAGACCTGCCGATCCAGACAGAAAGGTGCAACAGAGAGGACCACTCCTGCTTAAGCTAACAATACAACGTATCACATCAACTTTAGCAGCATCCATTGGAAATCCATCTAGTTTGTGTATATTTATTTATTTAAGCAGGAAAGTCCCACAGAGATTTTCAGAGGAGTCCTGGACAGACAGAGTCCTGGCCCCAGAGGGTTCCTAGTGCTGGACACACAGAGTCCTGGCCCTAGAGGGTTCCTAGTGCTGGACAGACAGAGTCCTGGCCCCAGAGGGTTCCTAGTCCTGGACAGACAGAGTCCTGGCCCCAGAGGGTTCCTAGTGCTGGACAGACAGAGTCCTGGCCCCAGAGGGTTCCTAGTGCTGGACAGACAGAGTCCTGGCCCCAGAGGGTTCCTAGTGCTGGACACACAGAGTCCTGGCCCCAGAGGGTTCCTAGTGCTGGACACACAGAGTCCTGGCCCCAGAGGGTTCCTAGTGCTGGACACACAGAGTCCTGGCCCCAGAGGGTTCCTAGTGCTGGACAGACAGAGTCCTGGCCCCAGAGGGTTCCTAGTGCTGGACACACAGAGTCCTGGCCCCAGAGGGTTCCTAGTGCTGGACACACAGAGTCCTGGCCCCAGAGGGTTCCTAGTGCTGGACAGACAGAGTCCTGGCCCCAGAGGGTTCCTAGTACTGGACACACAGAGTCCTGGCCCCAGAGGGTTCCTAGTGCTGGACAGACAGAGTCCTGGCCCCAGAGGGTTCCTAGTGCTGGACAGACAGAGTCCTGGCCCCAGAGGGTTCCTAGTGCTGGACACACAGAGTCCTGGCCCCAGAGGGTTCCTAGTGCTGGACACACAGAGTCCTGGCCCCAGAGGGTTCCTAGTGCTGGACAGACAGAGTCCTGGCCCCAGAGGGTTCCTAGTGCTGGACACACAGAGTCCTGGCCCCAGAGGGTTCCTAGTGCTGGACACACAGAGTCCTGGCCCCAGAGGGTTCCTAGTGCTGGACACACAGAGTCCTGGCCCCAGAGGGTTCCTAGTGCTGGACAGACAGAGTCCTGGCCCCAGAGGGTTCCTAGTGCTGGACACACAGAGTCCTGGCCCCAGAGGGTTCCTAGTGCTGGACACACAGAGTCCTGGCCCCAGAGGGTTCCTAGTGCTGGACAGACAGAGTCCTGGCCCCAGAGGGTTCCTAGTACTGGACACACAGAGTCCTGGCCCCAGAGGGTTCCTAGTGCTGGACAGACAGAGTCCTGGCCCCAGAGGGTTCCTAGTGCTGGACAGACAGAGTCCTGGCCCCAGAGGGTTCCTAGTGCTGGACACACAGAGTCCTGGCCCCAGAGGGTTCCTAGTGCTGGACACACAGAGTCCTGGCCCCAGAGGGTTCCTAGTGCTGGACAGACAGAGTCCTGGCCCCAGAGGGTTCCTAGTGCTGGACACACAGAGTCCTGGCCCCAGAGGGTTCCTAGTGCTGGACACACAGAGTCCTGGCCCCAGAGGGTTCCTAGTGCTGGACACACAGAGTCCTGGCCCCAGAGGGTTCCTAGTGCTGGACACACAGAGTCCTGGCCCCAGAGGGTTCCAAGTGCTGGCCCCAGAGGGAGTGGGGTCAGGTCCTGTTTCAACAAAACCTTTTACACCTAAAGCTAAAGCATATTTAGCTCCTACAAATATTGCACGTGGGCCCTTTAAGAGTCTAAAGCAGCAGGTCTCAGTTCCAGTGTACGTTTATACGCCACGGTGCGGTGTACAGTTAGCATAGTTAGCATAGTTAGCATTCCCATCGCACCGGCCGTGTTTGGGAGTCCACTTTCACTTTCAAACCAAACAAACAGCCCAGCGGAGTACGCACTGTATTTATAGGCTCCTCTTCAGTTCGCCTCGCACTCTATCCCATATGCAATACCACTACTACTACCACACACAAGGACAGAGTGCAATAGCACTCCTACAGCCTCACACAAGGACAGAGTGCAATACCACTACTACTACCACACACAAGGACAGAGTGCAATAGCACTCCTACAGCCTCACACAGGGACAGAGTGCAATAGCACTCCTACAGCCTCACACAAGGACAGAGTGCAATAGCACTATTACATCCTCACACAGGACATAGTGCAATAGCACTCCTACAGCCTCACACGGGGACAGAGTGCAATAGCACTCCTACAGCCTCACACAGGGACAGAGTGCAATAGCACTCCTACATCCTCACACAGGGACAGAGTGCAATAGCACTCCTACAGCCTCACACAGGGACAGAGTGCAATAGCACTATTACATCCTCACACAGGACATAGTGCAATAGCACTCCTACAGCCTCACACGGGGACAGAGTGCAATAGCACTCCTACAGCCTCACACAGGGACAGAGTGCAATAGCACTATTACATCCTCACACAGGACAGAGTGCAATAGCACTCCTACAGCCTCACACAGGGACAGAGTGCAATAGCACTATTACATCCTCACACAGGACATAGTGCAATAGCACTCCTACAGCCTCACACGGGGACAGAGTGCAATAGCACTCCTACAGCCTCACACAGGGACAGAGTGCAATAGCACTCCTACAGCCTCACACAGGGACAGAGTGCAATAGCACTCCTACAGCCTCACACGGGGACAGAGTGCAATAGCACTCCTACAGCCTCACACAGGGACAGAGTGCAATAGCACTCCTACATCCTCACACAGGGACAGAGTGCAATAGCACTCCTACAGCCTCACACAGGGACAGAGTGCAATACCACTATTACATCCTCACACAGGGACAGAGTGCAATAGCACTCCTACAGCCTCACACAGGGACAGAGTGCAATAGCACTCCTACAGCCTCACACAGGGACAGAGTGCAATAGCACTCCTACAGCCTCACACGGGGGTCATCTGTGTCCCCGGCCCTGTGTGTCCCAAAGTGGGATTGAGGTGTTCATGTCTTACACCCTCCTCCTCGGCTCCGGTTCCAAACCACCGTCCCACGCTCGCAGAGCTGAGGAAATACCATCTGCCAATTAGACACGGGCCGAGCAGAGCCGTAAATCAAAAACATACAGAGGAGAAAAGGAGCTGCTGCTGGTTCAAACGGAAAACTGCTATTTTTACAGTTCTGGGCAGAAAAGTGCGAGTATCAGCTGCTTAAACTGTGAGGAGCTCAGACAAGCACCTGAGACGTGTGGTCAGGACCAGGCACGGCAAACACCATCAACAGCATCCATCTCTATTCCCAGCATCATGGAGGCTTTTCTTCTTACCCATATTTATGGTTTTTGAGATTACAGTAACTTTCAACCAGATTAGCTCCAGACAACTGCACCAGAATGTCATACATAAAAAGTTTGTTTCTGTCAATATTGACAGGGTCAACAGCTAAAGTTTAAAACTAAATTAGACTGAAGTTATTATAGACTTGAGGGAGACTGCAATCCTTTCACTGGTATCGGTTCATATTGAAGCCAAAGTATTAGGGTCGGTATCTATTTTTTTGTTTGGGTCACTGATATTTATGAAGATTGTCAATATAACTTTCCTTTTACATTGGAAACAAGAATGTAAATGGAGTGCATATCTGTGAAGTCTTCTCAGAGTAAAACAATCACTTTTGTAAACTCTAAAATCATCCAAATGTGATGTTCCAAGTGAAGGAATAAGATCTATTTCAAGAAGCAGGTATTGGACAGTTTCACAAAAAGCAAGTCACCTCCAGGACCATTGAGCAATACATCTGTAAAGTCTGAGTTCCAACAGTAAACTCATTTCAGGATTTATTCAACCCTCGACAGCAAAACATCCTTCTGTATCACAAGAGAATAAGTAACATCTTTTCTATATTGCACAGAAATGACAGACAATGAATATTAGGCACCAACATATAGATAGATTAAATAAATACATCATTCTAAAAGTAGCACACCCTCCTGTATGAGTAATTAAGTAATGTAATGAGTAATAGAGAGTAATTAAGTAATGTAATGAGTAATAGAGACATAGTGACATATTTGGGACTATAAAAACGACACATAAGTCCATGGAACACCTACACGCTAATCAAGAGGGGGTAATCGTGTATTGGTATAATTTGGACCAAGCGCAGACCAGACCAGACCAGACCAGACCAGACCTGGGATACAGAGGGGTCTTTGAAGCAGGGACAGCACACCCCTCTGTCCCACAGACCATTGCCCCACGCCGGTACTCTCTGTTGGGCTGCCAGAGTAAACACTGTGGTACATACTGCGGAGCACACAGACTGTAACAGGCAGTGAGCCAGAGAACTGATAGAAAAGATTAGCTTTATTCTGGGAAGTTCAGAGGAGGAAAAATACATCTATGGCGCTCAGAGATTCGTTGTAGACTAGAATGTGTATGACAATGATGAATGAATGGGGTGCAATTGAAAAATATATATAATTTTACAAAATGGGTCGTGACAGTGTCCAGTAAAGAAGTCAATAAGTAATTTTCCACAGCAGTTTGATTTAGATTTAATGCTAACTAACTTAAGCATATAAAACACAAAACTAGGATCCTCACTTTGTATTAGTGTTTCAGTGTAGCATTTTGCAATTCTTTTTAGCAGGAAATGTAAAATACAGGCTAAAAAATAATGTATAATAATATATTTAAAACAGTTCCTCCCGTTAAGCCTGACCAGAAAGATTTGCTGGAGAACAGTTAAACCAATGGCGAGGAGCTGAGCATATCTGAGGGTTAGAATTCATTGCATCCAATCAAGAATCTTTGGGGGCGGGGCTAACAGGGACGTGCACTTAAATACAGTAGTTTTATGCATTCTAACTTAATAGAATATCGTAGTCGCAATGGTTAAAATTGTGCCCTTTGCATAAAACAGGCCTCAAAGTGTCTATTTTCTGCTGTGTTCCTTTTCCCCAGATAAAGAAGTGAGACAAATTCAATGTCGATCTCACAAATTGGTCTTACACAGTCCTGTTTGGAGCGGCTGCCGGGTCTCAGTCTGGTGCCATTTCCCAGAAGGCTTTGGGGGACAGCTGAGAAGAATGAGCTCATGTCTGTTTGGGCTGGTACCATCATTTCATTTGGCAGCCGCAGAAAATGAGTCAACTCCATATCTCCGCTCTCTCCCTGACCCTTCCCCATGGCCCCGTCTGTCTGCAGCTCCAGTGAGGAAGAGTTTAGTGGAAAAGAGGAAGATAAAAGGTCATCGCTTAAAGCTCGGGCACTTCTAGTTCCATCTCTCAAAGAAGATTGGTTCAACCCGTTTCACTCACATGTATTTTTAGGCTCCGTCATTTTCGGAGATCAGCTCTTTATCAGTGGCCTCAGATTTATTCACAAAGTTTTGGACAAACATTGAATACTTATTCAATAAGTGGGTTAGATTTATTTTGTTCCACCCGAGATCAGCCTGAACTCTCTGTAGCTGAGCTTTATTGTTGTATTATGTTCATATGTTTGTCTGAGGCACATTCCTGTGGGTTGATGTTATTTCATTTTTATTTGTATTTTTTTATGTGCTGCTCAAAGGAATTCCACTGGTGGGATAAATAAAGTAGTCTGAATCTGAATAATATTATAGTAGACGTCAGGACAAAGCAGCTGATTTACTATACTCTGCACCAATCATGTCGAACATTCTTTTTCTGACCTAAAATACGTGATTCTATTACCAATGTCTTCCAGATTTGTCCAGTGGATTTGTGTTTTTCCGCTTAGCATTGGGAGACTTTAGCGTCACATGGCTGCCTTCCTGTTCTGAAGGCTAATTAGCGCTGGCTTAGCAGACATTAAGCAGCGATAGCAGAGGTTTTAGCATTTCTGGGATAATCCCAATCCTTTTGGCCAGGATATAAGAGCCTTGTATGTCATGAGGTACACACACAGAGATTAAGTCTGAAGCTATGAGGCTATTTACCCACAAGTCTTTGCAGCAATGGCCATTTAACCTCTGCTAGGATCCAGACCCGTGTGAGCGGTCGTGTTGAGGCTAAAGGAGCTGAGTGACTTAAGTTTGAGGAAGACTCTGATTCCCACAAAAACTAATGATACAATCAAAGGTTCCTGGACATTGTGTAGATGTAGTCCGTGTTGAACAGTTATGTTGTTTGTTTGTATGCAGAGCTCGGTGTAGAGCCGCTGTCACAGATTGCCTTCTCGATCATTGCTGTAGAACATTAGGGACACTGGGCTTTGACAGTTGAACAGATAAAGGCCATGAAATCCAATTTACGGATGTTATGAAATGTAATTAGATGCTATCAGTGCAATAATAAATCCAATATGAGTTCTATAATGAGGCATTAGAGAGGAGAGAGAGAGAGAGAGGAGAGAGAGAGAGAGAGAGAGAGAGAGAGAGAGAGAGAGAGAGAGAGAGAGAGAGAGAGAGAGAGAGAGAGAGAGAGAGAGAGAGAGAGAGAGAGAGAGAGAGAGAGAGAGAGAGAGAGAGAGAGAGAGAGAGAGAGAGAGAGAGAGAGAGAATAGAGAGAGAGAGAGAGAGAGAGAGAGAGAGAGAGAGAGAGAGAGAGAAAAGAGAAGAGAGAGAGAGAAGAGAAGAGAGAGAGAGAAAAGAGAGAGAGAGAAAGAAAAGAGAGAGAGAGAGATTTGCAGTATTATTAAAGAGACTTTTGGCTGTAAGTGTGTTCAGTTAAAGATGCTGCATGAAAATAATCAGGTGAAATACTGGCATTGAAATGACCTTTGTTAAATGTACAGAAATGATGCTCATACATTTTTAATAAGGACATATTTTTCCCTAAATGCCACTGTTAAAGGTCACAGGATGGTGCACACATCTCACTGTAACTAATATTATTAATGAAGTCACATAAACCAGAGGACTTTAGAATCAAAGTCAAACAGCTCTAAACAAAAGTGTGATTGTGTGAAAAAGTGATATTGAATTCACCATTGGTTTTACCTGCTTCTTCTGGGTCTTCATCATAGTCTTCATCATCACCAGACGACAGAGAATCTAGAAAATACAAGAAAATACAAACTTCAGGCCACGTCTCACACACAAACACACACACGTACGCACACGTATGCACACAAACACACACACACGTACACACACGTATGCACACAAACACACACACACCGGGCAGCACGGTGGCTGAGTGGATAGCACTCTCGCCTCTCAGCAAGAAGGTCCTGGGTTCGAATCCCGGTTGGACCAGGGCCTTTCTGAGTGGAGTTTGCATGTTCTCCCCGTGTCTGCGTAGGTTTCCTCCGGGTACTCCGGTTTCCCCTACCACTAAAAATATGTGCAATAGGTCTGGCATGCGCCTCCTGTACTGGCACCCCCGCTCCCAAAAATAACAATATTACAAAACTATTCTGAAATTCCTAAAAACTAACCTTATTACCTTATTATTATTATTATTATCTCTGAAGCATTTAGATTGTGTTAAACGGCCGCTAATGACGCCTCGAAGCCTCAGAGCCTGAGAGCCTCAGAGCCTCAGAGCCTCAGAGCCTGAGAGCCTGAGAGCCTCAGAACCTCAGAGCCTCAGAGCCTGAGAGCCTGAGAGCCTGAGAGCCTCAGAGCCTCAGAGCCTCAGAGCCTGAGAGCCTGAGAGCCTGAGAGCCTCAGAGCCTCAGAGCCTGAGAGCCTGAGAGCCTCAGAGCCTCAGAGCCTGAGAGCCTGAGAGCCTGAGAGCCTCAGAGCCTGAGAGCCTCAGAGCCTCAGAGCCTGAGAGCCTGAGAGCCTCAGAACCTCAGAGCCTCAGAGCCTGAGAGCCTGAGAGCCTCAGAGCCTCAGAGCCTGAGAGCCTGAGAGCCTCAGAGCCTCAGAGCCTGAGAGCCTCAGAGCCTCAGAGCCTCAGAGCCTGAGAGCCTGAGAGCCTGAGAGCCTGAGAGCCTCAGAGCCTGAGAGCCTGAGAGCCTCAGAACCTCAGAGCCTGAGAGCCTCAGAGCCTCAGAGCCTGAGAGCCTCAGAGCCTGAGAGCCTCAGAGCCTCAGAGCCTCAGAGCCTGAGAGCCTGAGAGCCTCAGAGCCTCAGAGCCTGAGAGCCTGAGAGCCTGAGAGCCTGAGAGCCTCAGAGCCTCAGAGCCTGAGAGCCTCAGAGCCTGAGAGCCTCAGAGCCTCAGAGCCTGAGAGCCTCAGAGCCTCAGAGCCTGAGAGCCTCAGAGCCTCAGAGCCTCAGAGCCTCAGAGCCTCAGAGCCTCAGAGCCTGAGAGCCTCAGAGCCTCAGAGCCTCAGAGCCTGAGAGCCTCAGAGCCTCAGAGCCTGAGAGCCTGAGAGCCTCAGAGCCTCAGAGCCTGAGAGCCTCAGAGCCTCAGAGCCTGAGAGCCTCAGAGCCTCAGAGCCTCAGAGCCTCAGAGCCTCAGAGCCTCAGAGCCTCAGAGCCTCAGAGCCTCAGAGCCTCAGAGCCTCAGAGCCTCAGAGCCTGAGAGCCTCAGAGCTCAGAGCCTCAGAGCCTGAGAGCCTCAGAGCCTCAGAGCCTGAGAGCCTGAGAGCCTGAGAGCCTCAGAGCCTCAGAGCCTCAGAGCCTGAGAGCCTCAGAGCCTCAGAGCCTCAGAGCCTCAGAGCCTGAGAGCCTCAGAGCCTCAGAGCCTGAGAGCCTCAGAGCCTCAGAGCCTCAGAGCCTCAGAGCCTGAGAGCCTCAGAGCCTCAGAGCCTCAGAGCCTCAGAGCCTCAGAGCCTGAGAGCCTCAGAGCCTCAGAGCCTCAGAGCCTCAGAGCCTGAGAGCCTCAGAGCCTCAGAGCCTCAGAGCCTGAGAGCCTGAGAGCCTCAGAGCCTCAGAGCCTCAGAGCCTGAGTTTTTCTAATGATTTTTGTTCCTGGTTCAGGCTCAGGTTGGTTTAAATGAGAAGCAGCTGTTTCCCTCCACGAGCAGGTTTGTGTTTCCACCACTTGACACCTCCGTCTGCTGCTGTTTGGAGCCTCAGCAGACGGGGTAGGCCGGGGGGGGTGCAGGCTGGGGGGGGGGGGGGGGGGGGGGGGGGGGCAGGCCGGGGGGGTGCAGGCTGGGGGGGGGGGGGGGGGGGGGGGGCAGGCCGGGGGGGGTGCAGGCTGGGGGGGGGGGGGGGGGGGGAGGCAGGCCGGGGGGGTTTGCAGGCTGGGGGGGGGGCAGGCTGGGGGGGTATATGGTCTTAGATACATCCAGGTAAGGCTTGTTTCACTTAATGTTAAAGTCCTGCTCTGTCCAATACAAGTGTGCGGTAACTTGGATACGATTAGAGCAAAGTGTGCCACATTAGTCCTCTCTTTGTCTTGGCGCCAACAGGGCTGAAAAATGCCAAATGCATTCAAAGTGTCAGGATAATTGAGATCCTGTTATAATTAAATTAATTCAACAGGATAATAGCACCATAGTCACTCGGAGCGCCAATCAAACTTCTATTTTAGAAGTGCCATATAGCGCTCTTCATCCTATGCCCATGTGTGATAATAATGTGAATAAATCCAAATATCACTGTGAGATTAAAGCAGAGAAAGTCCAAAAGCAGAAAAATACATGTTGTTTGTCCCAACATTACGAGTCTTATACAAGTAAAATGTTGAACAAATGAACAAATCAGACCACAGTATTATACAACATCACTGATTGTATAATGTTGTATATGTAGGCTGAGAGCTGATTGGCTGAGAGCTGATTGGCTGAGAGCTGATTGGCTGAGACATGCATGGCAAATACTGTTGCTTGATTGTATATTTATGTTTATATATTTGCACGTGTATGTTTATACTGCAGAGCACAGAAGGCAACATGTACAACAGTTCATTTAATATATGCCCTAAAACTGTTATGAAAGAGGAGAATGGGAGATGGTTTTATGAAAGTTATTGTATTGTATTTTTATACAATTGAACATGTTTGATGGAAACTTTCTGTCTCTTTCTGAATCCAAAGTCTGCTCCAGACCCTTCTCTTCAGTCAAGACCAGACCCTTCTCTTCAGTCAAGACCAGATCTGAAACACTTTGTCCTGCGCTAAGTGTCCTTTCAACAGCTCGCATTCCTCCACTCGCTCCGAACACTGTAAAAACTGTCTCTGAACACTGTAAAAACTGTCTCTAAACACTGTAAAAACTGTCTCTGAACACTGCATAAACTGTCTCTGAACACTGTAAAAACTGTCTCTGAACACTGTAAAAACTGTCTCTGAACACTGTAAAAACTGTCTCTGAACACTGTAAAAACGGTCTCTGAACACTGTAAAAACGGTCTCTGAACACTGTAAAAACTGTCTCTGAACACTGTAAAACTGTCTCTGAACACTGTATGAACTGTCTCTGAACACTGTATAAACTGTCTCTGAACACTGTAAAAACTGTCTCTGAACACTGTAAAAACTGTCTCTGAACACTGTATAAACTGTCTCTGAACACTGTAAAAACTGTCTCTGAACACTGTAAAAACGGTCTCTGAACACTGTATAAACTGTCTCTGAACACTGTAAAAACTGTCTCTGAACACTGTAAAAACTGTCTCTGAACACTGTATAAACTGTCTCTGAACACTGTATAAACTGTCTCTGAACACTGTAAAAACTGTCTCTGAACACTGTAAAAACTGTCTCTGAACACTGTATAAACTGTCTCTGAACACTGTAAAAACTGTCTCTGAACACTGTAAAAACGGTCTCTGAACACTGTAAAAAACTGTCTCTGAACACTGTAAAAACGGTCTCTGAACACTGTAAAACTGTCTCTGAACACTGTATGAACTGTCTCTGAACACTGTAAAAACTGTCTCTGAACACTGTAAAAACTGTCTCTGAACACTGTATAAACTGTCTCTGAACACTGTAAAAACTGTCTCTGAACACTGTAAAAACGGTCTCTGAACACTGTAAAACTGTCTCTGAACACTGTATGAACTGTCTCTGAACACTGTAAAAACTGTCTCTGAACACTGTATAAACTGTCTCTGAACACTGTATAAACTGTCTCTGAACACTGTATAAACTGTCTCTGAACACTGTAAAAACTGTCTCTGAACACTGTAAAAACGGTCTCTGAACACTGTAAAAACTGTCTCTGAACACTGTAAAAACGGTCTCTGAACACTGTAAAAACTGTCTCTGAACACTGTAAAAACGGTCTCTGAACACTGTAAAACTGTCTCTGAACACTGTATGAACTGTCTCTGAACACTGTAAAAACTGTCTCTGAACACTGTATAAACTGTCTCTGAACACTGTAAAAACTGTCTCTGAACACTGTAAAAACTGTCTCTGAACACTGTAAAAACTGTCTCTGAAACACTGTAAAAACGGTCTCTGAACACTGTAAAAACTGTCTCTGAACACTGTAAAAACGGTCTCTGAACACTGTAAAAACTGTCTCTGAACACTGTAAAAACGGTCTCTGAACACTGTAAAACTGTCTCTGAACACTGTATGAACTGTCTCTGAACACTGTAAAAACTGTCTCTGAACACTGTATAAACTGTCTCTGAACACTGTAAAAACTGTCTCTGAACACTGTAAAAACTGTCTCTGAACACTGTAAAAACTGTCTCTGAACACTGTATAAACTGTCTCTGAACACTGTAAAAACTGTCTCTGAACACTGTATAAACCGGCTCCACTCCCTGCTGCCGCTGGCTGCCGTCCAAGGGCTAAATCTGAGACTGCGGCTGAATATCTGACACCTTACTCAAATATTTGACCAAAAACACAAAGGCCTGTGTGTGCTTTAGACACTGTTTGCAGAGGAGGGAGGGACATACCGGGATCTTAGGTAAAGTTTAAAAAGCCATGTAGTGGAGTTAAAAGCAGAATAAATGTGATAAATGACTTTCTGCTCGGGTTCAGGCCCAACATTCAATATGGATCGGCTGTAATGAGTGTCTGTGTCTGTGTCTGTGTGTGTGTGTGTGTGTGTACGTGAGTGGAGGAGGTGTGTGTGTCTGTGTGTGTGTACGTGAGTGGAGGAGGTGTGTGTGTCCGTGAGTGTGTCATGTAGACGCAGTGACATTTGTCCAGCTGTAGTTTGACCATATTATATTTTATCATCTAACTGTGTGTGTGTCTGTGTGTGTGTGTGTGTGTGTACGTGAGTGCAGGGGGAGTGTGTGTCTCTCTTGCTCAGCTCCATCTGGTTTCAATGATGAGATCTGAGCAGTTAATTACTTTCTAATGAGTCGTCAATAAGAGCTCAGCCGGAGTCCGCAGATTAACGTGTTTGAACTAACGGTTTGTAGCCGCTATAAACACAGAATAAACTGTCTTCTACACAACTCTGATGTGTCTTATAGTGTATGGTTTTTGGAATTTGCTTGAATGAAGAAATATATAGTTCTTGTTTCTGACATGTTACAGTCTGTCCACGAGAGCGGATCTCTGCTTCACAAGGCTTTTCTTTTTGTCACTGGGCTTTTCCAAACAGGAGACAGTTCTGTCCGTTCACTTTTTACTAGTCTTGATACAAACCATGTTTTAAACGCTCTGTGCTCACCTGTCACTCTGACAGTGTGGGCGGAGTCTCACCTGTCACTCTGACAGTGTGGGCGGAGTCTCACCTGTCACTCTGACAGTGTGGGCGGAGTCTCACCTGTCACTCTGACAGTGTGGGCGGAGTCTCACCTGTCACTCTGACAGTGTGGGCGGAGTCTCACCTGTCACTCTGACAGTGTGGGCGGAGTCTCACCTGTCACTCTGACAGTGTGGGCGGAGTCTCACCTGTCACTCTGACAGTGTGGGCGGAGTCTGACCTGTCACTCTGACAGTGTGGGCGGAGTCTGACCTGTCACTCTGACAGTGTGGACGGAGTCTCACGTGTCACTCTGACAGTGTGGGCGGAGTCTCACCTGTCACTCTGACAGTGTGGGCGGAGTCTGACCTGTCACTCTGACAGTGTGGGCGGAGTCTCACCTGTCACTCTGACAGTGTGGGCGGAGTCTCACCTGTCACTCTGACAGTGTGGGCGGAGTCTCACCTGTCACTCTGACAGTGTGGACGGAGTCTCACCTGTCACTCTGACAGTGTGGGCGGAGTCTCACCTGTCACTCTGACAGTGTGGGCGGAGTCTGACCTGTCACTCTGACAGTGTGGGCGGAGTCTGACCTGTCACTCTGACAGTGTGGGCGGAGTCTCACCTGTCACTCTGACAGTGTGGGCGGAGTCTGACCTGTCACTCTGACAGTGTGGGCGGAGTCTGACCTGTCACTCTGACAGTGTGGGCGGAGTCTCACCTGTCACTCTGACAGTGTGGACGGAGTCTCACCTGTCACTCTGACAGTGTGGGCGGAGTCTCACCTGTCACTCTGACAGTGTGGGCGGAGTCTCACCTGTCACTCTGACAGTGTGGGCGGAGTCTCACCTGTCACTCTGACAGTGTGGGCGGAGTCTCACCTGTCACTCTGACAGTGTGGGCGGAGTCTCACCTGTCACTCTGACAGTGTGGGCGGAGTCTCACCTGTCACTCTGACAGTGTGGGCGGAGTCTCACCTGTCACTCTGACGGTGTAGTTGATGACCAGGACGTTGCTGTGCAGAGTGCGACATGAGTAAACGCCTGAGTCTTCGTACGACACGTTGATGATGTGTAACGTCCTCGGTCCCACTCTGGTCCTGTTGTGGGACACCAGGCCCAGCCCGTCTTTGAACCACAGAACGGGTTTGGAAGGATCGGCCACGTCACACGACAGCTCCAGGGGGTCCCCCACTCCCAGCACAAAGTCCTCCAGGAAGGCGGCTTCACTGGACCCTGGCTCTGAAACAGAACGAGGAGAACAATCAGTATGTCTTTTATCTTAAATAATAGACTTATTTGATGTGTGCAATCTGAGTGCTCTTATTTCCTTTCTCTGCTGTAATGTACAACGATGACACTGACATTTCTCCACTGTGAGACGAATAAAGGTTTATCTTATCTTATCTTATGGAACAACAACATGGGCACTTATTCATTTAGTTTGGTCCAACAGAGTTTTGTTAAAGTTATATTCTGTGAACGCATCAGAACATGCTGTCTTCAGCCGTTTAAATGTAGAGTTGTCCCTCTTTGTCACTGTTCTGTCTGAAAATGAAGATGAAAACATATGACAGAGGCCAAAACACAGACATGATAGAACTAAAGTGTTTTGGGAGCAAGGAACTAATCAGATGGATTTATTTTGTTTAGTTTTGAGGTGTGAAAGTGAGACACTCGAGCTTTAATTGGGCTTTTCTGTCCCACAATTGGTTTCTATTTCACTGCTTCTAGTCTTTATTGCACCGGCGATTGTCAAAATGAGAAACAAACCGACGCCAACACTTCATGCATCATTTATTTTGCTACATTACCCTTTAAACACACTCTCGTCATGTTTAGGAGCTTTAACTAATGCCTGCTTTAAAACACATGTTGGTCCTGCCTCATTAGGATTTGGTGTCAGCCTTTCTAATAGTCGCAGTGGGAATTATAAACCATACAAAAACATGCTGTGTAATAAAGCTGGAGTACCTAACTTTGTGTTTGTTTCGTAGATTACAATTTTGGAACAAATCCCTCATTTCATCTCTTACATACTGAGAGCTGATTGGCTGAGTGAGGGTTGGTACTCCATGTTTCACTGAAAAAGTTGATCTATTTGAAAGAGAATAAAAAGACGTATGAAAACTAATGATAGAAACAAACTGTTTTGAGGGCTAGAAACTAGTTACATAATACATAGTTACATTCATTTTGATAAGTTAGGTACACCAGCTTTAATGTAAGGAGCACGATTTGAAGGCAACAACAAGTCTGGAGATGATTTACGGACGAAAATACAAGTCCATAAAGTGCAATTTATGAGGTGACAAATTTGAAATGGAGCAAAAGGACTGAGAGTAAACAGGATGACACACGTGTGACTGATGCTTACATCAACTTAAGGAATATTTTTATTGAAAGCACAAGTCACAACAAAGTTAAAAGCTCCAAAAAGTCAATTAACTGTAATACATGCAAAAGAAAGGATTTTCTAGTCACATTGATGTTTTATTCCAGTAGTAAAACGTAAAGGACTTTTTTATGTGCAATGTGGGAGCCTAACAAACAGTCTTTGAGGGGGGTGGGGGTAAGGGGTGGGGGGGTATGGGTGGATTGGGTGCAGACATTTTCCAGCTCATCTCAGTCTGAGCTCCTGTCACAGCTCTGCTAAAGAGGAGACACCCTTCAGGTCAGAGCCAGGGAAAAATCAACATGTTTACAACAAGCCTCAGCCACATCACGGCCCAGAGACAGAGACAGAGACAGAGACAGAGAGACAGAGAGAGAGACAGAGAGAGAGACAGAGAGAGAGACAGAGAGAGAGACAGAGAGAGAGACAGAGACAGAGGCAGAGGCAGAGGCAGAGACAGAGGCAGAGACAGAGACAGAGGCAGAGGCAGAGACAGAGGCAGAGACAGAGACAGAGGCAGAGGCAGAGGCAGAGGCAGAGGCAGAGACAGAGAGAGAGACAGAGGCAGAGGCAGAGACAGAGACAGAGGCAGAGGCAGAGGCAGAGGCAGAGGCAGAGACAGAGAGAGACAGAGACAGAGGCAGAGACAGAGACAGAGAGAGAGACAGAGGCAGAGGCAGAGACAGAGACAGAGGCAGAGGCAGAGGCAGAGGCAGAGGCAGAGGCAGAGACAGAGAGAGACAGAGACAGAGGCAGAGGCAGAGGCAGAGGCAGAGACAGAGACAGAGACAGAGGCAGAGGCAGAGGCAGAGGCAGAGGCAGAGACAGAGAGAGACAGAGGCAGAGGCAGAGGCAGAGACAGAGAGAGAGACAGAGGCAGAGGCAGAGGCAGAGGCAGAGGCAGAGGCAGAGGCAGAGGCAGAGGCAGAGACAGAGAGAGACAGAGACAGAGGCAGAGACAGAGGCAGAGGCAGAGACAGAGACAGAGGCAGAGGCAGAGGCAGAGGCAGAGGCAGAGGCAGAGACAGAGAGAGACAGAGGCAGAGACAGAGGCAGAGACAGAGAGAGAGACAGAGGCAGAGGCAGAGACAGAGACAGAGGCAGAGGCAGAGGCAGAGGCAGAGGCAGAGGCAGAGGCAGAGACAGAGAGAGACAGAGACAGAGGCAGAGGCAGAGGCAGAGGCAGAGACAGAGAGAGAGACAGAGGCAGAGGCAGAGACAGAGACAGAGACAGAGACAGAGACAGAGGCAGAGGCAGAGACAGAGACAGAGACAGAGACAGAGGCAGAGGCAGAGACAGAGACAGAGGCAGAGGCAGAGGCAGAGGCAGAGGCAGAGACAGAGAGAGACAGAGACAGAGACAGAGGCAGAGACAGAGACAGAGGCAGAGGCAGAGGCAGAGGCAGAGACAGAGAGAGACAGAGACAGAGGCAGAGGAGACAGAGACAGAGGCAGAGGCAGAGGCAGAGGCAGAGACAGACAGAGACAGAGACAGAGACAGAGGCAGAGACAGAGGCAGAGGCAGAGGCAGAGACAGAGACAGAGACAGAGGCAGAGACAGAGACAGAGGCGGAGGCAGAGGCAGAGGCAGAGGCAGAGACAGAGACAGAGACAGAGGCAGAGGCAGAGACAGAGGCAGAGACAGAGGCAGAGGCAGAGGCAGAGGCAGAGGCAGAGACAGAGGCAGAGACAGAGACAGAGGCAGAGGCAGAGACAGAGGCAGAGACAGAGACAGAGGCAGAGGCAGAGGCAGAGACGAGGCAGAGGCAGAGGCAGAGGCAGAGACAGAGGCAGAGACAGAGACAGAGACAGAGGCAGAGGCAGAGGCAGAGACAGAGGCAGAGGCAGAGACAGAGGCAGAGGCAGAGGCAGAGGCAGAGACAGAGGCAGAGGCAGAGACAGAGACAGAGACAGAGGCAGAGGCAGAGGCAGAGACAGAGGCAGAGACAGAGACAGAGACAGAGACAGAGACGAGGCAGAGACAGAGACAGAGACAGAGGCAGAGGCAGAGGCAGAGGCAGAGGCAGAGACAGAGGCAGAGACAGAGACAGAGACAGAGACAGAGACAGAGACAGAGGCAGGGGCAGGGGCAGAGGCAGAGGCAGAGGCAGAGACAGAGGCAGAGACGAGGCAGAGGCAGAGACAGAGGCAGAGACAGAGGCAGAGGCAGAGACAGAGGCAGAGACAGAGGCAGAGACAGAGGCAGAGACGAGGCAGAGGCAGAGACAGAGGCAGAGACAGAGGCAGAGGCAGAGACAGAGGCAGAGACAGAGGCAGAGGCAGAGACAGGGGCAGGGGCAGAGGCAGAGGCAGAGGCAGAGACAGAGGCAGAGACGAGGCAGAGGCAGAGACAGAGGCAGAGGCAGAGACAGAGACAGGGACAGAGGCAGAGGCAGAGACAGAGGCAGAGACAGAGACAGAGGCAGAGGCAGAGACGAGGCAGAGGAAGGGTCAGGGGCAGGGTCAGGGGCAGGGACAGGGGCAGAGGCAGAGGCAGAGACAGAGGCAGAGACAGAGGAAGAGACAGAGGCAGAGACAGAGGAAGAGACAGAGGCAGAGGCAGAGGCAGAGGCAGAGACAGAGGCAGAGGCAGAGGCAGAGGCAGAGACAGAGGCAGAGACGAGGCAGAGACAGAGGCAGAGACAGAGACAGAGGCAGAGACGAGGCAGAGGAAGGGTCAGGGGCAGAGGCAGAGGCAGAGACAGAGGCAGAGACGAGGCAGAGACAGAGGCAGAGACAGAGGCAGAGGCAGAGGCAGAGGCAGAGGCAGAGGCAGAGACAGAGGCAGAGACAGAGACAGAGACAGAGGCAGAGGCAGAGACAGAGACAGAGGCAGAGACAGAGGCAGAGGCAGAGGCAGAGACAGAGACAGAGACAGAGACAGAGGCAGAGGCAGAGACAGAGACAGAGACAGAGGCAGAGGCAGAGACAGAGGCAGAGACAGAGACAGAGACAGAGGCAGAGGCAGAGACAGAGGCAGAGGCAGAGACAGAGACAGAGACAGAGACAGAGACAGAGACAGAGGCAGAGGCAGAGACAGAGACAGAGACAGAGGCAGAGGCAGAGACAGAGACAGAGACAGAGACAGAGACAGAGACAGAGGCAGAGGCAGAGACAGAGACAGAGACAGAGACAGAGACAGAGGCAGAGGCAGAGACAGAGACAGAGACAGAGACAGAGGCAGAGGCTTCTGTCTGTTCTTCAGTGGAGCTCACAACTTTAACTCACAACTTGATCAACTGAAGATCAAACTTGAATGTGTCATGTCACTTTGAAAACTCATTTTCACATTGAATGAACTACTATTTATGTGTTGTTGACTGTTTTTCCAGATCCTCTTAACATTGTCTTTGCATACCTTACATTCTTATATTTTTTGCAATAGAATATAAGTATGAATATCTAGTCTATGAATTTAGCTCATCCACAATGTAGAATTTGAATGATTTAAAATGGATTTCTGATTCAAAACCTAACAAAAGGAATATTCTTTGGCTTTCTGGTTTGTTGTGAGTTATTATTATTACCGTTTACTAGAACCCATAAACCCTTATTTTATTTGAAACTCCTGCAAAAAGTGAAACGCAGCTCTAAAAACCCATTCCAGTGTTTTAGCCTTTGATTGATTCCTTCATAAAACAAATAACTGTCTGGAAGAATTGTGAGTTGTTTTTCCTGTCTCTGTTTTGGTATTAAACGCACTCCATGTCTCAGCTCATGTCTGACAATATTTACCGTGCTTTTTCACAGACAGAAAAACCATTGAGCAGAAGAAAAACAGGCGACTGTGCGGCACATAAACCACGGCGCAGCGTGAACGGCCAGCTTCCTTTTCTTCTGACCTGAGTGAACGGAGAGCGGAGAGAAGGCTAAGAATAAACTCTACTTAAATATACGAGACTAGGGCTGAACTTATCTCCAGAGACTCGTATTCACTTCTTACTGCGCAGACCTTTTTCAATGAAAAACAGTAGCTCAAAGAGTAAACTGGAGAGTATTTATGGCTTCAAGTTGACGACCAAGTTCCCCATAAAGCAAACAAAGAGGCAGTGTCTGTCACAGTGATGCATGTGCAAAAGAGAAGGCCGTGTAAGTGCAGAGAGGGGCCGTTTAAAGCTGCTCTGTGTAACTTTTCTGTAAGTAAGAAGTATAAATCCTTATTTATATAGCACCTTTCTCATACCAGAGTCAAAGCGGTTTACAATTGTGGGCATTAGTCTGTCACTCCACACAGAGATGGGAGGGGCCAGTACAGGAGGCACAGACCTATTGTGCATGTTTTTAGTGGTAGGGGAAACCGGAGCACCCGGAGGATACCTATGCAGACACGGGGAGAACATGTAAACTCCACTCAGAAAGGCCCTTTTCCGACCGGGATCCAAACCCAGGACCTTCTTGCTGAGAAATGAGAGTGCTATCCCAGCCCGCAGTTTGCCCAGGT